TATATCATTATTAAATAGAGTGAATATCAAAAATATTTTTTCACTAAATAACATTTTTAAAAAACTGGAAGATTTGTCATTAAAATGCCTGCACTATTAAACATTAATTAATTTTAAAATCTATACAAGTGTAGATGGCTCGGAATACGAGGACTATTCAAAAAATAAAGTAAATTTTCAAATTTCGCCTGCTACGTACATTCGTATAACTATTTTTTTATGTTTAGTTTGTTGGTGTGAGGCATAAAAGTTACAAGTGTTCTGCGTGCTCCGCGATTTTCTGTGTAAAAAATGGAATCGAGTGCTCAAAAACACTTGGAATATTGACAGTTGTATACGGTGGTTGTACTCTGAACATGAAGCGTCTGGCAGCAAAATTTGTTCCAAATTTGCTGAATTTTGACAAAAAAAATCGTCGTATGAGCATCGCTTAGGAATTGTTACGAATCATGGGTATATGGTTATGACATCGAAACCAAAGTCCAATCGTCCCAATGGAATAGCCCAGGAGAGTTTTCGGCACATGGTCGTACTGCCAATAAGGAGTATTATCTTGAAGTTATGAGCGCACCTCTCGAGAAGCTATACGAAGGAAACGTCCAGTATGGTGGAAAAACCATTCATGGCCTTTGCATCACGATGATGTACCTGCTCAGTCGTCATTGCTTGTTTGTCATTTTTTGGCCAAGAACAACACCGTAATCATACCTAAGCCACCGTATTCACCAGATTTGCCCCCTTGCGATTTTTGCCAGTTCCCAAGTTTTGAGAGCCCCATGAAACGACGGCGTTTTGCGAGATAAAATCGGAATAACTGAAAGAACCCAAGGATATGCCAAAAGTGCAGTTCAGAACTACTTCGAGAATTGGAAAAAACGCTGGCATAAGTATATTATACCTTTAGGGGCACTATTCTGAAGGGGACAAAATATAAATTGATGAATAAATAAATATTTTTTGAGAAAAATTTAAATTCACCTCATTGTTTGCTCGATATCGTGTTCGGAGAGATTGGAAAAGTCCAACCTCACACACAAGTCAATAGAAATATTCTCGGACAGTCAAGCGGCCTTGGAAGCTCCTGGTTCCTGGCTCCTACCGAGCAACGTCTAAATTGGTAGCAAATTGCCCAAAACGACTCTCCTCGATAGGAAGACTTAACAGATTGTCTCTGGTCTGGATTCCTGGCCATACTGGCCTGGAAGGCAATGAGGCTACTGACTCCCTTGTAAAGGAGGGTGCTGCAAGGAGCTTCATCGGTCCAGAACCTGTCATTGTCATCGCTTTGGGCTTTGGCAAACAAACATTGAACACCTGGATGGCAAGAAGATTTATGGACTTCTGGCGGAATCTTCCAGGATTGGCTCACTCCTGGCTCACCCTTCGAAGCTTGATACCAAACAGTTGTTGGACTACAGTAGGGATGAACTACGATGTCTAACAGGCCTTGTTACAGGTCACTGCCATTCGAATCGTCATATGCAGAGACTTGAACTGTCGGAAGACAGTGTGTGTCACCTCTGTTTGGAAAATGATGAAACAGCAGAGCATATACTTTGTACTTTTACCATCTGACGTGAAAGACCACTCACCATACAAACTAATTGGCTTCGTTAAGAAGCTGGGTTTATTTGGCAAAGTGTGAATAGGTGTGAGCCACAATAAACCCTTGCGAGTTGCGGTGGAGGGTCGAATAGACCCACTCACTTTAGACCTAACCTAAACTGACTTAGCATTTGCTCAGACCTTGTATAGTTGTGTAAAAAAAGTAAAACTTATATTTGTTTTGGTTGGTGTCCGGGCTTTGCCTTGGTCTTCTTTGGTTATAATATACAAACGTTTCGACTGCAGCTGCGGCAGTCATCTTCAGTGGCATAGTCGAAGTAGTCTTCTTGACATGTTAACTGAAACTGAATCTCTAATTACTTTCGTGTCATTTGTAGTGCTGATTTCTTGCGCGCTTTCTGTAATGGCGGGTCCGCGCGTACTTCCCGCGCGGTTGACTTGGCTTTTCGTTTTGGCGCTTTTCAATGCTGTTGTTCCAGATCTTTGGCAGATATGTTCTCTCGTCTTTTCTGTTGAAGTTCTTTTGGTGTTTGTGTATTTCTATGGCTTCTAAATACATTCTTGTTCTTTGTTATTCATTGTTGTTGAATAAAGGCTTTTGGGTATTTTCGACGTTGCTAGCCGGTATTTTCGACGTCGCTATTTTTGTTTATTTATTCATTTAATTGTGTGAAAAAAGTTAAACTTATATAATATCATTATATTTCCTTTGAATATTACATTAAAGTTCCATGAATTCCTGAATCCTCTTCCCCAGAACCCAATTATAATTGCTATGTCAACTAGCATTCCATTTTTGAGAAACTTCAGCAGCGCATCTACCCATCAATTTCTTGTGTTTTCATTATTAGCCTCTTTCAATAAGGTTTTCTACTCTGTCAGTCCCCTGCTTTGAGATTTTGTATACTTACTTTCACTTTCACTCTCCATCATCATTTTGAAAGAATGGCTACACGAAAAACGTGTTTCGTGTAGGTGCGAAGATGGAGAACATCAGTAGCAAATCATTCTACGACTAGGAATTTTCCCTACGTTTTTTTTGTTTCGATCGTCAGAGGTACTAGAGTTAGCCATTCGTTGATGTTTTTAACAAAGGAGACTCTCTCCTATACTGTGATAAGCAAGTGTGAGAATAATCCCAAAATATTTCAGTAACATTCGGGGTCTTCTTGTGACAAATGAGGCCAGTAGATTTGCCTCTTCTCTTCATCTTACAGTTCTTTTTAATACCTGTTTTTCCGATTCACGAAGCTTTTTCCTGAACAGGTCCATCAGTTTACACAATTGCTGTTAGCTGTTTAATTCGCTTCCAAGAGTTTTCCATATCATATCGTCTATAGATTCAGGTACCCAGTTGATAATGCATTTTCCACCCTTCCACCCCTTTTTCCCCGATTACTGAAAAACTGAACATAACCATCGACCAACACAATGGGGAATATTCCTCAATTTGGGTTATTACAGCAAATTCAAGTTTGAACAAAATAAAGTTCAGTTTAATTCATGAGTTTTTCAAATCCACTTCGAAAAGTATGCAAATTGATGTTTCAAATGTTGGGTTTTAATTTTTAAAGGGATTTGTTTCTAATTCACATATTGGCAACAGCACCTATATCAAGTTAAAATAATTTATACGTACCTAGATATTCTACTTTAAAGAAGGAAAATTATCTTTATAAATCAACAATTAAGGCAAAATATAAATTATAGTTCAATACCACCTCCACAAGCCACATAAACAACAGTTGTTTTGTTATTTATTTATATAGAGGAAGATAGGTTAGGTGCACAAAATGTCATATGTTACAGAATGTCTCGGAACATAAGTAAACAGAACAGCACGCCCCTGAAATATGTCATCTTTGTTTGTCTAATACAGGTAACAGATCCATTGTCCTTTATTAGCTATTACCGATGTTGCCAAATGGTGAAATAGAAACGAATCCCTTTAAATGTTGAATGCATTATTTCATTCCTCTTTTTTAAGTATTTAAAAAAAAATTTAAGAAAAAGGTTGACATGATAAGTTTAAAATGCGTTGTTTTAGAGCTCTTTTATGAAATCTACTTGATTTTCGTTAGTAGGAACATTCCCCATTATCATGTGACTTTTTTGTTTCATGAGGTTTAGAGACAGCAACCGTAGTTCTCTACTGAAATTCATCTTTCTTTTCGTAAATGCTTCAGTTTGGCGCCAAAGAAATTGGTTTTTAGAATTCTCATGACGGATACCAACTTTTGTTTTCAAAACCTTGAGAAAAGTACCGAAGTTAACGTGTAGATCAAGCACAGGCCTTTCTTTCAGGGATGAACTGGTAGAAAAAATCCATCCGCAACCACTGATATATGAACATTAAAGGGTCCTAATGTAAAATTTTACTTACACAAAAAACATTCAATTTCCAGGTATTCTTCCTAATCAATTCTTGCAAAAAGCGTTTCAGAGTGTCACCGTTATAGATACGTAAAACGCATAACTCTCATTGATAAGCAAAATTGAATAAAAAATGGTGATGTTCATTTTTTTCTTGATTATTTCATTCAAACCGATATAATGAATAAAAAATTGAAGTCTAGGCCGCCAAATAAAAAAAATCTGTTTAAAATCTGTTTAAAATCTGTTTTTCCGTTAACCAGCTGTCGCACCCCTACGAACGACAACCCTCAGAAGTCGAAACTTGTGCGAGCTAAGGATTAACGAGGTCTTACCTTTTAACGTGTGATTCCTAACACGGGTTGGGCGGTAGCAAGTGAAGATCGATCGTTCAGACTAGGGCTTGAACCACCGACCAACACGGCAGTCAATTCGAGTGAGTGAACAAAGCACCCACGCCGAACCGCTTGGCTACCGACTGACCAAAATAAACAATACAATAAACAGATTCAAAAGACCAAAATGAAAAATGAATCGCCATGCACTGATTCACATAATCCCACGAAAATAAGAATTCGAATCGGAACATCATTCTGAGTAGTAGCAATTTCATTGAAATCGAAAAGGCAACGCGAAGTACAGTTAACGCATCTAGCCGCGTCAAGTAAGTCGGGTGACTCAGGTGCCGGCTCTGCGGACTCCTGTCAAGGCAAGATAGATTTTAACAATAAAGTCATATTTTGTTTTTATATCTGTTCGTTCAGCTGAGAATATTTCAAAAAATAATCTTCACGAATACAACTCATCCTGAAATTTTTCACAGGTATATGCCCATTTTTTCACACTCAAACTCTGTTGCTTTTTAGTAATACCAATCGAGCAACCAGCAATACGTATCACGCTGTTTTCTGTCATGGTATTGTTGAATTATAAAATTTTCGTTAAAAAATGTAATTACTTTCGATAAAACTACATTTAGAATAAAAAGTGTGAAATGATGTCTAGAAAACCCAAGTTTCCTTCACAAAAAATGTTGCTCATTGAATTCTCTTTTGTTTCAGGCAAGACGAGGACGAAAGACAAGTATCGAGTGGTTTACACGGATCACCAGCGAATAGAGTTGGAGAAGGAATTCACATTCGTTAATAAATACATAACGATAAGAAGAAAATCAGAACTGGCTGCAAACCTTGGTCTCAGTGAAAGACAGATAAAAATTTGGTTCCAAAACAGGAGAGCCAAGGAAAGGAAGCAAAGCAAAAAGCGTGCCGAAGAAAAATCCCAACTCGAAATCAACCCTTACCAACAAAACCTTCAACACATGGACATGCTCGCCCAACACGTCCCAAATCCAGCAGTTGTGATGCCCACTCCTTCTATTGAGATGCATAGGTACATGGACAACCAAGTGATGAAGCATGAGAATAGTGCTTCATAGTTGGTGACGAGTTAGGAGATGGAGCAGCTTTATTGATTTTTAGCTCGAGGGTGAAACCCAAATTTTATGAAATCATTCAGGTTTTTGTTTTGTATAGTCAAACGTTTTTAGAAGCCTACTTCATTGAATGATGGACAATCTGAGGACGATATTCAGTTGTTCGAGTTGAGAAACCTTCGAATGTACATAAAATAATTTATATTTGTAGAAATACGTCCGTGTTGTATTTTCTATAGCAATTTGAAAGAATTAAGAGATAGTTTTGCAGTGAAAATCATATGCAATACAATGAAGCCATCATTACTTTCATTTGAATTTAATTTCAAGTATGCAAGTTGATGAAAACAATCTGATTGCCTGACTCTCCTTTCCTCTAATAAAAGTAGGAATTTTCTAAACTGGTAAAGTTTCTGTCAGTCAAACATCTTTCTTATAATACGTTTCTGAATATTTCAAAGTGTCCATATCTCTTTGTCCAAGTTTCTACTGATATAACTTTATCTTTTATTTCTGATTATCTCTGATAATCATCTCAGTTAGTGCAAATCTTCATATTATCTACGTCATCTACCCTTCGTTTGTAAATATCAAGATATAGCTTAGGGATTGACTTTTCAATGCTTTAGACTCGTTTTATAAATAGAAATGTGTGATCTTACAGATGAGAAACTTGTAGATCTGTCCCTCTCCGTTACAGTCTCAACAATTTCACTGACCTAACCAAACCAGAGTTGTTCCTTTGAAAATCTTAGTGAATATCTCTTAAACATTTATATATCAGAAAATATATACGAGTATACTTATTGCGTACTTTCTGATCACCTCGTTTTGGTATGAATCGCAGCTGATTCTGACATAATCATTCAGACCATTATTCACTGCTGAACTATCGCTTATAATTTATTTCAAATTTATCATCGTTCTGCAGGTTGGAGACCTGTAAGAAAAAATATCGTTAGGGATGGACAACTGAACGAACATGCATTTTTTTCAGTTGTATTTTTGGAAAAGAATCAGAACTCCGAATTTTCTAGAAACAGCTCGCAAGCACCTAAGCAACCCTGTTTAGTCAAGTCTTTTATTTTCCACAAAGCTGGAGCATGTTTTTATCGTGATAAGTTGTACACATCCTCCCGTCCAAATTAAGATGAATTTATGCAGTCAATTAGTAAGTGAAAATTATCAATTAACAAGAATAATGTGATAAAACTGATAACACTTATAGACTCAAGCTCATAAGCCTTGGAATTTCTGAGAAATGTGAAAACCTAATCTATTTTAAATGGAGTGGGGTGAATCAGAAATTGACTGATAAGATCTTACAAAAGAACTACATCAGTTTTATTTTCAACTCTGATATTATAATAACCTCTCAGATGAATCAAACATTAGACTGCCACTAGTGACAAAAACCAACCCTAATGAACATCAATATTGTGAAAAAAAATTAAGTTATTAATTATTGTTTTCGAACGGACAAACCCGGGATCATCTGCCTACTGGATGAATAGTTTCAAAAAGTTATGTTTTCCAAACTTCTATTTGTTATAGGAATGTAGGCTTTCTGTGCTGGTGTCAATGTTTTGATTAGCTTCCGGGTTTTGCCGTTATCCTTCTTGGATTATAATCCCCAAACGTTTCAACTACAACTGCGGCAGTCATCATCAGTGGCGTGGTCGAAGTACTCTTCTTGACGTGTCAACTGAAACTACTTTTCACTTGTTAATTGATAGTTCTCAATTTTTATGCCTACTTCATTCCTTTGTTTCAAACCTGGCTACTTTCTAATTGAGTCTGCTAAATTCACTATCAAAAGTGCAATTTTTATTTCGTGCAATGATAAACTCTAAAAGAGAATAAATTAGTTAGCTCTGTATATGTTCAAAATTCTATTATTGTAATATAGGTATGATTGATTTTACGAATTTTGTGTATAAAAAACTTATAATAATAAAAATTTTGTTTTTTAACGTTTATGTCTCGTTATTTCCGAGAGGGTCAACCAAAAATGGATAATAATATCAATTTTACACTGTTTGATACACGTTTTGAATAGTGAGAATTAAATCAGTTTTTGAAATAATTACAGGGATGGGCTGTTGGTTAATTCTATCATTTGTTTTTAAAGAGGTATAAAAGTAGCATTTCAATTCAGGGGAGATGAAGTTATACAGGGTGTAATAAAAGGTAGGTCATAAATTGAACCCACATATTAGGGGGTCAAAAATAAATCGATTGGATATAACTTAACTCAATGCAAATTTGCACACAAAAAAGTTACAGCCCTTAGAAAGTAAAAAATGAAAATCGATCTATTCCAATATTTCATGAAGTATTTAATATTTTGTAATGAAAATGGATCCATAGCTTAAAAATATGCCAATTATTTTTTTTAAGGACAAAACACAAGCACTACAGTAAAATCCTTAAGGCGCTCTCAGAGCGGTGCCTGTACGAAAGTAGCGATTCACATTAAATTTGAAACGCTGAAGATTAAATCCATTTGGAAAATCGCTCTCAAGAAGTTTATTCTACATAAACGCAGTTCTTCAGATGGGAGAGTTCTTAAACAGTGAAGTTCGAGGTGTACTGAGTTGAACCTCAAAACGATGAGCAGCCGCAGTCCGTCGCGTATTTCTGATTTGAACCGCTCTTGGTGGAATCAAATGTGCCAAGTCACTTGAACACTTCACGTGAAAGTATCTATAGAAGAGAGACAAATCCTCAGCCTTTCTTCGACGTTCCAGGCTATCAAGGTTACACGTGATGTTCGCGTCTCCAATCAGGCGGGTGGCTCTTTTCTGGATGGAATCCAGCAACTTCAGGATATGTTTGGGGACAGAGCTCTATACATGAGAATAATACTCTAAAGAAGGTCTGATCTGAGCTTTATAAAGCATCAAAAGTTGATGAGGTGTGTACAGTTTTCTAGTTCGGAACAGTGTTCCAAGATTTTGAGAAGAAGCATTTGCAATTCCAGCGACATGAAGGTGCCAAGACATATTGGTGTCCATTTTATCCCCCAACAAACTTATCGAAGCAGAAAGCGGAATTGTATGACCTGACATTATTATATCTGGTTCGAAGACTTCTTCTTGGAAAAAATCGATACCTGAGTTTTTGTGGCATTGAATTGAACCTGGTTACTTTTACCACAATTCGAAATCACATCTAGATCCTCATTGAGATATTCAACCTCCTGCTGCCGGTGAAGATGTGCCTCTGTAGCCGATGTCCTGGAATACAAATGGAATAAGGAGACAAGTGTGCTGTCGCCAGCAAAGCATTATATTGGATTCTTGTTTTTTTCCAATAAGATGTTGAAGACAATATGGATCCCTGAGGAACACCAGCGTTGATGATGAAAGTATTCGACTGCCACCTGCAGGGAACGTTTTTTCAGGAAGCTGAAGAGCCATACACAATAATGATCCGGCAAACCATAGCATCGAAGTTTGGCACACACGGCCAAAGGCCTTAGAAATATCAAGCGCAACGGCTCCGAATTCTCCATGTTTCTTGATTGCGTTATTCCAAATATGGGTGACATACAACTTGTACACAGACAACGTAGACTGAAATGATGTCGAATAAACAAATTGTATGTGAATCTACACTATAACACTATATATGATTCTATATGTTTCCAAATTTATTTTTTTTACTTCTTTCTTAGATTTATTCAGGCTTCTCAAATCCTTGATTCGATTGGGCAATTTATTATACAGCTTCATTGACATGTACTGAGGAGTTTTTTCAGTTATAGTTAACCATAGAAATTTTGATTATTATTGTTGAAGAACAGATGTATATTTTTTTATAGAAGCATTAATCATTCATAAATATAAAGACCGTATATCAATTTATTGTATTTCAAATTATTCATCATTCTGATAGCCCTTTCCTGAATTACAAATATTTTTTCAGTTTCACTATTGCTTCCCCAAAATATGATAACATATCTAGCTTCACACTCAAAATTGGCAAAGTATGAAATTTTTATCGATTCTTTGTTGAGATATTTGTGTACCATCCTTAGTCCATATGCAATTTTGCTCAATTTTCTAGCTGTATAATCAATATGTTTGTTCCATTTCAAGAGTTCATCAATATGGGGTCTTAAAAACTTGGTATCTTCTGAATATTTTATCGTTATGTTTTCAATATTCAAAGTTGGAGGTCGTTCTATCTGTAATTGATTGGTTCTGAAAACTTCTTCGATTGACGACTTGTTTATTTTGTGGAAATTCATGTTCACTGAGGATACACTACAAAAACACACTTTTGTCTATTTTCCACTATATTTCTTTATTGTTGACCGGTTTCGGCTATTATACCATTTTCAAAACTTTTTGAAAATGGTATAATAGCCGAAACCGGTCAACAATAAAGAAATATAGTGGAAAATAGACAAAAGTGTGTTTTTGTAGTGTATCCTCAGTGGTTCTGAAAAGTATGAGATTAATTCAAAATTAACCTTTTCCTAGTGAACCATTCTTTTGTATCATTAAATATATTAATACCTGTTTTCACTACTTCAGGGTATGTTTCAATGCTTATTAATGAATTGGTGTCACCATCGAAGCTGGTGTTCATCTAGATGATAAATAACAAATATCGTAAGAGCATCTTTTTCATATAAAACCAAACCAAACCAAACCAAAATCTGTTCAGTCCATACATTTTCAGGGGGATTTTGAACCCCTAGAACTCCCCAAGCTTTCCTATGCGATTGTGACACCATTGATTTGTTAAATAATTTCTAATTTTTTTTTACCTCGTTTACTTTTTTGAAAAGTCTGTTCTTAACGAGATGCAGGCTCTTTTTCATTATCAAAACATTCATTAGTTGGCTGTTCAACACTTAGAACCAACCAAAACAATAAAACTTCATGTTACAATGGTTTATTTTATACGTTCGCAGAACTGGCAGATATGCAATTAATTCTGGGTCAGTTTGGTCAGGCTAAAACAATGTTTCAGGTAATTATCTGTATGTCTGGAGCATCTGCAAGGCATTATGCGAAAAAATATACCAATGGGAAAACACCAAACAGACGAGTATTTTTTTCTATTGATTGTTGTTTACGGAAAACGGGTACTTTGATGGTAATAGTGGTCGATAAGGAGATTTTAGAATGTGTCGAGGAAAACCCTGAAAGCAGTTCAAGGGTAACAGCTGCTCAATTGGATGTTGGTCACATGATGGTTTGTAGGAAGTTGTAAGGAACAGCAGCTTCATCTCTATCACTTAGCAACCATTCGAGAAATATTAGATGAAGATTATCTTTAAAAAATGCGACTGGTTTTTAACGGAAAACAATCGAACTATCAATTTCATTATTCACATTTTATTCACCGATGAAGCTACCTTTAATAGAAATGGCATTACGAATACTTTAAAAGTCAATATGTCGACTGGGCATTGTGAATAATAATTTAATAGGGCCAGTATTTCTTACAAATAATTTGAATGGCGCAAATTACTTACAATTATTAATAATAATATTTCATATTTCTTGCAAGATGGAGCTCTAGCGCATTTCGATAACGAAGTTTAAGAATATCTTTTCGGTACGGTTATTATAACTTACTTTTTGTTATCAAAAATTTTGTTGAACAGCCAACTGAATAACTTCTGAAGGATAATAAAAAAGAGCCCGCATCTCGATAAAAACTGGCTTTTCGAAAAAATGCTACAAGGTAAAAAAATACAAAAATGATATATTCAACAATAGAACGCATCGCAAAGTTTAGAGAGTTCAAGGAGTTCAAAAACTCCCTAAAATTTTTATGGGCTGAACAGATTTCGTGGTTTCATATGAAAAAGATGCTCTTACGATAAGACTAAAGCTATGGATCCATTTTCACTAAAAGAGTTCGTGAAATATTGGACAAAATAGATTTTTATGTTGTACTTTTCAAGGGCTGTAACTTTTTTGTGTACACATTTGAAGGGAGGTTATATCCAATCGAGTCATTTTTGACCCCAGAATTTCTTTCCAGAATGTATGACTCACCTTACACCCTGAGGTTTCGGTTACCAAGAAAATGGAACGATCTTTGCATACATTGTGTTGAATCTGCACTTCATGTAGATATCTCAAGAACTATTACAGAAAGTCAAAATTAAAAAAAATGCTGAAAGAGAGAAAAATTACTAATAAAATGCTCACCTCTCAAAACTGTGGTTCCAATATTCATTATTTCAAATAAAGATATAATAATGTCAGCTCAGACAATTCTGCTTTCTGCTTCGATAAGATTGTTGGGGGTTAAAATTGATACCAATATGTCAGCCATTTTTTATTTTTTTATGATGGTACACCCGTTTCGAACATTACATGTTTCACATCTAGAGGTGTTTTGGATGTTTAGTTTCTTGGTGACAGGCATAACAGTTAGGATTTGAATAAAAGGGTCATAAATGGTGAATAATCCTGGGTATATGGTTATGGCATCGAAACCAAAGTCTAATCTTCTCAATAGACTACTTAGAAGGGAAAAAAATAGAATTTGATGAAATAATAAATATTTTTTTTTTTAATGAAAATTCACATTTTTTAACAGCCCCCGTATCAAAGAGTGAACAAAATCATTCACTTGGTGATAGTTGAATAGATAATATTGAGCTGGCAAGAATTTTATTCGCAATTTCTTCACCAATCATTAACAATTCGTTGAAGACATAAGAAAATATCCACGCGGAGAATATTGAAGAATTTTAATTTATCATTCATTCATCAACAAACAATCAGCGATGTTAAAAATTGAAAACATATGTAAATAAACAATAGAAAAAATTGTTATGTTCAAATATTCCTTTTAATGCACTACGCTAAGCTAGACTAATATGACTTTTTTATTTTTTATTCGTAATGCATGCATTGTTCATGGAATGAAAATATATTTTCTTCGTGGAATCTAATAATTCAATAAAATAATACTTTTTAAAGCAATAGAGCATAGA